TCAACTTGCTTTGTAATCATTCATTCAACTGAAGATGACAGAAGTTCTGTCGAAACATGTCTTTTAAACTTAAAAAAGTGGTCGTTTTCCTTAAAATCAAAAGAGTTTCACTATAACGCTTTCTTTCACCCGCGACAAGCATCAAGGAGTGAGCAAATGACTATCATTCGCCGTATTCAATATTCAATTACCGTAAATATGTCAGTTAGGTATTCTAACGAACAATACTTAATACACTTCCCCGCCAAGTAAGCTGCACAATGACAATGCTGTTTAAAGACGTCCGCAATTGTTTGACTTCCCTTGTTGGCAAGATAGTCAAAATATAATATCACAGACAAAACCCGGCTCCTCTTTGAAATCACCGTGTCGTAAGCGCCTTAAGCTTAAGGAAACCATTGTTTTAACAGACCTCGCTCGCTTATTTAACAGGAACACTCCAAAGTTAATTCTACGCCAGTAAATTCAAGGAAACCATTGTTTTGACAGACCTCACTCACCTGTTTAACAGGAACACTTCAAAGATAATTCTACGCCAGCAAATTCAAGGAGCTAAACACTTTGATCTTAGAATCATTTTCAAAAAGGAATACACAACTCAACATGGTTCGCACAAAACCTCATTTGTGGTGCTTCGCAGTTATTGGTTTCTTGTGCTATGCCGTTGTCAGAGCTCCATACAGACAAGGAGATATCATGTTGGGTGGCCTTTTTAGTATTCACCAATGGGAAGGAACATCGGAGGATAAATGTGGGGAGATCACCCAGGAGGTGACAAACGCTCAGGCGATGATCTTCGCCATTGATAACATAAACAGCGATTCAAATTTACTTCCAAACATTTCTCTTGGATATCACATACGGGATTACTGCGAAAGCATCACAAAATCAACGCGAATCACCTATGAACTGTTAAGATATAATTGTTTTGTGAACACAACCCTGAGCAACCTTGGACAAGAATCCATCGTGGCTTTAATCGGTCCAACCCTCTCGAGTACAGCCATTTTTATCGGAGGAATTCTTCAAATGCTTAATGTTACAGCCATAAGCGGGACATCGACAAGTGCAGAACTAAGTTCTCATGCATACAAGCATTTGTATCGAACAATAGCTGCAGATACCTATTTAGCAAAAGCTGTGGCTGATATCATTGATCACTTCAATTGGACCTATGTAGCAGCTATTGGAGTCGATGATTCGTATGGACGACATGGAATATGGTCAGTCATCAGGGAAGCCGAAAACAAAAACGGTTCATTCTGTGTAGCTCTGACAGAATTCATACCACATAATACGCAGAACACAAACATAAAAAATATTGTTAGTAAGCTCATTCGACACGAAAACATCAGAGTTATTGCCCTGTGGATGTACGGCTCCATTAGAAGGAACTTTTTAAAAGAAGTGAGGGCACAAAACCTGTCCGGGCGAGTTTGGATTCTAAGCGGCGCAGCATTCGATTTAAATGCAACTGGTTTGCTCTCTTCTGACGTTTCGCACCTACACGGTTCAATTGCAATCCAGCCTCGCAACTTTCAAGACGCAGGATTTAAGGAATACATGAAAGCTATGCTGTTATATGAGGCAAACAAGAGAGACCTTCCGGAATGGTGGAATGACATTTCGAGGCTGGTTAACAGTTGCTCAGCTGGTAAGGACAACCCTACGCAGCACGAAGATCGCCAAAAACATTTATGCGTACAGCATATTGTGAATTATGTGTACAGCTCACATGTTCCATATGTCATTGATGCTGTATATTCCGTAGCTCACGCTTTGAATATTTCAACTCAAGATACCAGCAGAATGAATTATGATGGTCAGAGGAAGCCTTATCTCAAACTGAATAACATGCAAAATCTACTGTCCAGAGTTAATTTTAATGGGCTAACGGGAAACATAGTCTTTGATGAGTTTGGCGATCGGCAATCTGCAGCTTATGACATTGTCAATTTTCAAATGGTCAAAGAAAATGACACCACGAGACTAAAAAAAGTTATAGTTGGAAAATGGAACGAGAGACAGGGCTTGCAGTTGGGTGGGAACATTCGTTGGAACAGCCAGAGAGGACGGTTTCCAAAGTCTGACTGCCTAGAACAATGCTCGGCGGGAACGAGAAAATCCACAACTTCACCTTGCTGCTGGCAGTGCATCCTGTGTCCACGAGGTACAATAAACCCAGTTCCTGGAGCACAAACCTGTATTGAATGCCCACGTGGGAAACGTTCCAACGAGGATAGGACAGCGTGCGTAGATTTACCTTTGGCCAATTTCTATTATTCTAGTACAGGAGGAATTACAGTTCTCGCATTTGTTGCACTGGGTATGTTTACCACACTCTTTTTCTTTGCTGTTACCTGCAGATTCTGGAACACTCCCATTGTCAAAGCATGTAACAGGGAAATGAGCCTTGCTCTCCTAACCATCATTATTTTGATGTTGTCGCTGGCGTTTATAAATTTGTTTCAACCTACGGATACAATTTGCAAGATCGTTTACCCATGGCGTTACATAACTTACAACCTCTGTCTTTCCCTCTTACTGGTAAAAGTCCTGCGTATTTCCAGTGTTTTTCAAGTTCCACTTTTATGTGGTTATACAATAACCTCTCTCACTAATAGAATGCAAGCAGTCATTGTAGTAACTCTGCAAGCGTTTCTCCTGATTTTGTTGCTAACTTGCTTACATATCGATCCACCTTTCACTATGGAACAAATCTATCCACAGCAATATACTTTAATTCACTGCAAGGCATACAGCACGGCAGCTGGAAAAAGTCTGTTCTCTCTGACATGTTCCTACATCTTAATTAAAATGCTACTTTGTGCTTTTTGTTCGTTTAAGGTGAGGAACGTACCAGAAAACTTTAGTGAGGCTAAAAGAATAGCATTTTCCATGTACATGTTTTTGATTTCTCTCTTAGCTTACTATCCAGTAAAGTTCTCTATGGATGGATGGTATGTGACAGTTGTAGACTGTGTTACAACACTGTTGAGTGCTTACGGTTTCTTGTTTTGTATATTCTTGCCAAAAATATATCTCATCCTCTATAGGCCGGAGCTCAACACTTCAGTAAACGTACGTCAGGAGGTGACTCATTTTTCGTTTGGGCTACGTTCTATAAAGGTGAGTCCCGCATTTGATAGCTCCACCTAGCAAAGCCAAACATGAACAAATTTACATCAAGACTACTGAGTCTTTACGCCTTTTTTAGGCTGCATATCATTAGAAGAGAAATCTATGTCATACCATTTAGGGCTGGACCTGAAAAATTAACCTAGGGTAGGCCGGGAACTTAACTCAGTTTACGTTTCATTACTACCCAGGAAGCCGGAACATGCACCTGTAAATACAGTTATCGCAGTAGACAAATGCTTCTCAGTTGTTGTACAGTATTCATCTGTAGTAATCTTGTAAACTTTCGTCCTCATTTGAAACGGGCTTAAGGCAAAAGAGATTGCATAATCGACCGTTTACTTTCTTTCCATTGGCTTGTACTGTAGCCTCTGGATTTGACTATCTTCACAAAACGAATTATTCAAATGCCGCCGGCCTCCCACAGGGGCAATTCATTTGCACTCAGTTTTTTCGGTCACGATGGTTGGAACTTGCTGCTCGTATGGTAATAGGTATTAAACGTCCTTCATATAGCAGAAAGAAACTGTTGCCGCCATTAATTTAAAATGGCCATAAAAGGTTACTTTAAAATCTTGTAACAAAACCAACTGTTATCAAACTTTAATCGCTATTCCTGATAGATATCAGTCGCAAAACTGATTTAGTCATAAAGAAAGAATCAAATGACATGTAATTAGGATATAACTCTATTCATTGTAAAGAACGGACCATATAAAAAGCTACCTGTATGGTACACAGGTAAGCCAAGCTTAGTATACACGAGCTTAATTATCACTTAATGAAATAGCGTCAACAGAGGAGGTTCGGCTTTAATATACCACGGGTAACAATTAATCATGACCTCAGCTGTGTAAGAGATCGTGTGAAAAATACTGCTGTCGCTTTTAAGTGTTAAAAAAGTAAAGTTCTCCTTTGAACTCACCTATGTTGTCTTTGATCGTTTCTTGTGGTTTCAATTCGTTTTGGGCGTCCAAGTGGCGAATTAACGACATAAAAAGGACGCTATGCCGTTATGATTGCAGTGTGAACATCCTAACATTTTGACTTAATAGCAACATAACGACAGGAATATAACGACAAAGGAAAATAACAAAATATATTTTCCTTATGGCCTAGTTCACATTATTAAAGTGCACCTAACCCCATTTTTTTTTTTTTCCCGCTAAAATGAATTCACTTGTTATTCGAAGCATTTAAGCGAAAAAAAAGTGAATATTTGGTTAAAACCTCGATTTTCTATGCCCTTTCAAGGTCGTGCTTGAAGTGTTGCGCGACCGCGTTTTAGGGAGTCTGGGGCGGCGGTTGCTGAACGCGTCTACGCAGGAACCACAGCTCTCTGTATTTGCTCGAGAAAATGGAAAACAAAACTAATCGTTCCAATATATTCTGTGACTAAAACGTCCAAGTTTGTTTCAGAAACATTTCTTTTTCGTCACTAGAGTCGGAGTTAAGTTTCGATTCGGAAGACTCCTAAATAAACTTCGATCGAGCACGTTCGACAACTGTAAACTCCCTACTTAGAGCTTTGTGAGCAATTTGCAATATTTCAAACGACGGGGAAGACTTCTTTGCGGATAAGCTGCTTGCATTTTGGGGATGGAAAGCTAGATACAAAGTGGAGGAGCAGGCAAACGAAAGGCAGGAAAGAAAGCTCAAGGACTGCTTTGGATGGTAATTTCGTCACCTAAAAACAAGATTCCCACGCGTGTTTATAGCCTCTTTACATTTGTCCTTAGCGAGAATGTATTTTATCAAGGTATGGTTGTTCTATTAAACCCAGTTTGTGTTTTACTTTCTGGAATGCTTCATGTTTATAAGAGCGACGTAAGTGTTACAGTTTTCGAGACTTGATGACTTCCAAAACAGTGGCTTCGATTGATTGAAAATCGCGACCGTAGAATTGTTTGGACTTATATTTTTGAAGCTGCGGGAAGCAAGGCGGAAGGAAACATTTCATACAGTTACCGATTTCAAATTGTCACACGTTTTAAGTCGAAACTCCAAATAACCAATGTAAATCTTTCTCAAAGTTTGCAGTAGAATTCGTCGGATAAGCGAAAAGGATGTGCTCCCTAGGCGGTCCGCAAATAATGTTACGCGGTCATATTTTCGACACTATTGCACAGAATTTTTGTCGCACTGCTGATTCCCAAACCTTCGAAAAACTCAGTGAATCTAACATTTTGTTATCATGTAATTCTACAGGATTAATCTTCGACTTTTATCTAAATCGAAAGAGACAGAAGTGTTGGTTGGCAGACGGTACAGTTGCGACCTATTTACATATCAGTATATTGGTCGTAACGCTTCTTGATTGATCACACAACTTTGCCGGTTATGTTATAAATACTGCGGGACTGGAAGATATTAGTCCGTGAGTCAGGCAGCCAAATTTAGGCTGCCGGTATCATTCAGGGTGAATAACTTTCATGGTGTTTTTTGAAAGGCCCTGCTATTGTAGACTTGGAAAATCCATGATAGCACTGGATCGATGGTAGTTCCTCCGTGCTGACTGCATTTATTTGCACCCCCTTCCCAAGGCATAACACATTTGGCCCATAGTTAACGTTCAATTATATGCAGCTACAAATGCTTATATGAGAAACCATAAACTGCAAGGGACCGCATACGATACGCATACGACCCGTGCACTATATCAAGTTCCGTACTTTGAACTCACTTGCGCCCCGAAACACGCGTTGCCACATCAC